TGATGGGACAACAGTGATTTCTGTAGCCTAAGCAACAAAGTCATGAAGTTATTTCATAAAGTTCATTATATCCTAATACTTTTGAACATATTAATTTATTTTTTACTCAGTTTTTGTTTACTTAAAGAGGTTTTTTTTTTTCATGCAAATGACAGTGCAAGCAAATTGAGGTATGACGTAATCCAGCGACGTTTAGGACAGCCAATAGCGAGTGTCCTTACTGAGGAGCGGACAACAGTGGGCTCAGAAAGAACCAGGAGGTAACAGGGAGCGCACATTTATCAACAGTGGGAACAAGGGGAGGCGACGACCAAGCAAAACAAAGCAGTTTTTGTTCCAAGGAGCACCTGAACGGATTTTTTGCTGCCTTGATCATTCGGAAGAAATTACTAGGATCGCTAATTGCAAGGTATTATTTTGTGTATATGTCTTAATTTATAAGGAAGAACATCTTGCAGTAACGAGTTGAAGGTTTAGGGAAGCTGGCCTGCTGCTTCAGTGTGGCTAAATACAAGAGGAGCTAGGCCTAGCTAGTGGTAGGCTAAATTGGCTAACTAACCATATTTATTCTGCACTATATTATAATTATTCATATGCTTTGCTTATGTGGCACTAAGTTGGTTATAAAGTGCTTGTAAAGCTGTATGTCGCGTGGTTTTCTGCGTCTCGATAATAAACAAGTATAACTAAACAAGCTAACTAGCTGTAGCATTGTGGGCAGAGATTAAAAGGTTTCAGGCCACGTTAGCTTCCGAGCAGAGCAGAGTTAAAAAGTCGCAGAATGACGTTGCACTGCGTTTAATGAACATTTTTAGCATTGCATTAAGTTAGCAGACCTCACATCATCACAAACCTCACCTGGCATGGACATGATGATGATGATGATGATGATGGGCGGTGCTCACTCACTGTCAGGTTACTGCTTTTAACCAGTTCCTGTGACATCAGCAGACAGATGTAGCTGTAGGTGTTTTGCTGCGAGTTTTATGTCAGATGTTGGACAAGCAGGGAAAAGTGATGTGTTTTATTATTTGCTGACTACGTTTCGTTAGTTTTTCTGGGAAAGTAATCTATTTTAGGTCACGCTGAGTTAATTATCTGAGTTATTTGATTGTGTAACAACAAATTCTGATCTATGAGATTTTGAAACTTTTAAATACTAACTGGCTATTACTAATAATAGTCTGTTTATTAGTTTTTTGTGTGTGTTTGTAGTAAATATACTGTTTAATTTATGTAAATAGAATATTGCATGAAAATATGAAACACAAACTCTACCAATGAATGAGACAACATGTGGTAAAACCTTTCCTAGAGGTTGCAGTTAAGGTTGGGCATAATCGTATCGTGTGTGATTAATAGTCAGAAAAACATTAATCGATTAATTTTTGGCACTTGACGATTAATTCGATTAATGCCAACAGGTAGAATCCGCTCACTGCTCCTCTCCGCTTCAAATATGATGAACATTAAAAAAAGTTCTGTAACTTATTTATCTATCAACACAATTTAAAATTTGATGTGTAGCCTGAAGGCTGTAATTTTGACAGAATTTGGAACAGATTTTTATGAAGAGCAAATCTTTCCCACTAAATTGGTCATGTGACTATGAAATTAGGGTGTCCAGAGACTCCAGGGGATTAATCGTCAAATTAATCGTTATCAGCTAAATACCACAGTTAATCGTGATTTATTTTTTTGCCAATATTGCCCAACCCTAGTTGCGGTAAACCTTAAAGTGCCTATTAAACATTGTTATAATAATAATATTAATAATAATAATAATAATAATAATAATAATAATAACATGATATGTATTGTCATCAAGGCATTTTCCCAGACAATGACAAAATTTGACCCAAATTTCACCCAAGTGGAGCAGCTGTTCAAGCGCCTGGCACATTGGAATAGTTAGGCAATAGATGCCTTGCTGAAAGACACCACAACCATGCGGGAAGGGCGGGGAATTGAACCTGTGACTTTCTGGTCCTATGTCATAGGGCTGTGTATTGGCAAGAATTTGGCGATACGATACATATCATGACAGAGGGGTTACGATACGATATATCCCGATATATTGCGATACTATAAGCAAGGCGCTRTATCGCAATATATTGCGATTTTTTTGTCCAAAAATGCTCTTA